AAATCTACAAACTGAGGGAGGAGGAAAATTAAGCATCGTTCTAAACAAATTGAGTTTTCTCGTCAATCCTCTCCCACACTACGATTTAAAAGAGCTAACTAATGAAGAGCTCAATCAATTGCGACTTACTACAAATGTCGAGTATCGACAACCAGATCTACTGATTGGCATGGATCTGTTCCATGAACTCAAAGTAGAAAAGAAAGCAACACTACCAAGCGGATTCACAATAACTGAATCACGTCTCGGACAACTTTTAAGCGGTGCAGGTCAAATTGAACAAATAATAAGCGCACACAAATAATAAGCGCACACGTGTATTACGTGTTGAATGGGATTTACGGGATTCTGTCCCGTTTGATCTTTTGAAGATAATCCCGTTACGGGATCCCGTGAATGACATTTTACAGACCTCTATTCGCAACATCAGTAAAGAGCATGAAAATCTTGGTTGTAATATACCCGTTTATGATAAAAAGATAAAATAAAAGGAAATATCTAAATATGTTCGTTTTTTTAAATTTATTATCAAACTTTAGGAGCCATCTAGCAACTGGAATTTCTGAAGCTTGAAAGAAAAATAAATTTAGTAATTCATGATGAAAAGTGATTACAATTATTATTTATTCAAAATTTTTAGTAGCTCCCACCCCGTGGACTAACTTTTTATTCATTTGTAACCACGCCCTTTCTTTCTAGAAGAATTTTTCAAAGCCGCCTATCCGGTAACAAGAAGCTTTCAATACGCAAACTAATGCTCTGACCTTTGGCATTAGGTAAATTTCCAATTTTGTATTAGCAATTACTATTTTTCGCAATTGTATTTCATTCTTTATTTGATAAAATTCTTTTTTTCTTAAATTACATTATTACTTTTTACGAATGTTTTGACTTATAGGGGGTTTTTTTGGCTGGACCGATTTGGAGAAATGAGGTGTCACTCGAAAGAGCTCGCCGAGCTAAGTCAATCGTGGGCAGAGAGAAGTCGATCCGACAATCAGGGACCGAGATACTGACCCCTGCATTTTGAAAAAGAGAAGGCGGAGTAAGCTCAATTTGGGGTGAAAAATTCGAAAATGCAAATAATAGCTCATTCGAATCAGCTCGGTGAGCTGAGTCGAATTTTTTAAAAACTCAGCTCGTCGAGCTGAGTCGAATTATCACCAATATGAAACCACCCGGAACAAAAACTCAAAATTTTTACTACATTCGTTTTAAATCATATTTCTATATCTCAAATATTTTTAGATTACAAAGAAATGAGATTTTCTACTTTTGTTTTATTTATTTTGGCAATTTATGTTTTATTAAATTCATTTGTTTGTGGTGGAAAAAAGAAATAAGCAAAGAAGAACAAAACGAGACATGTTGGGAAAACTAGCGGATGCAAACAAATTGTATAAGAATGAAGTTGAACTCGAAAGGTTATTCCCTATTAACAAAATTTAAGAGGGACTTATTTCTTTTTTTATGATTATTTATCAACAATTTATTGTTGATAAATAATATGCAATTTATACAATTTATTCGTTTATGCAATTTTTTATTATTAATATACAATTTATTCATTTTCAATAAATGTTCTTAATATAATGATACAAATAACAATATCTAAACTAATTATAACTTAATAATGATGAATCAGTGCTAAAGAATAACATTTCCCTCACAATTTTTCTGTTAAATTGATTATTTGATTGAGTTTATAATGTTTTATTAAATAGAATAATTGTTTAAAAGATTTTCAATTTTCTCATTAAATATATTTTAATTCTTTTTGTTCGTTATATTATATTTATAAAGCTTTTATATAATGTTACACCTAAGTAATATAATAGCTATTAAAATTATTAGCAAAACAATTCGATTTTAAAGCCATGAAATACTTCCTAAAATTGGGCTACTTTAAATATATACACAATATAGATAAATAATTATAAATTTTCTATCAAATATATTAATTTTATTCATTTGTTTTTTCTAATATGTACTTGTTATCTTTTGCATTGTTAATTATTTTTCATTATACTTTTACAATTTACTCAAACGATTCTAATATAAAAAATCAAATTATAAAAATATTAATTTTAAAGTTACAATTTCACCTTTCATAATTATTGATAATATCTTTTAGAATTTTTATACTTTTGTAGCATTTTTTTGTATATTTTGTATGTTAGATGAGCTGGTGTTTGGATATTTTTGATCTAAATTTACTAGTAAACTCTTCTGAAAATGTTGAGTATTGTGATTTTTGTTAAATTTTCCTTATGTGATGATTCCTTTTCCATTATTAAGTTATAGCGAGTTGTAATTTAATGTAGCAGACTTTTATGAAGGTATAGGCCTACTCCGACAAGAAAATGCTGACTCCAAAGGTCGAATGCTGTAATAGAAAAATCATCTTCAAACTTTTTTTATACATTTGGTCGAAAGGTTTTCAAGCTAAATTATTTTAAAAATATTTTATAAAGTTATTAGAATGATACAACAATAAACAAAAAATAAAACTTTTGTTTATACTTTTTTTTAAAAAAACTTTTTACAAAATTGATAATTTTAAATGCGTAATTACCAGAAAAATTGGTAATTATTATAAACCTGATCATATTTTGAAGCAATATTTATTACCTGTAAATAATAAATTATAAATATATATATCTCAGGGTAATTTTATTTAACTATTTTAGCGAAAAATAAGGGTAAAAAAAATACTATCTCATATAATTAAATATATAATTAATAAATTTCTTTGTTTTAGCATTATTATGTTTTCTTCTTTGTTCTATATTGTTTCTGGTAACATGCAGCACATAAATATTTTTTATATTCTGAGTGATTATACCATCGTGAGGTATGCGTAACTCCGCAAGTATAGCAATTTCTTTCTTTTGTATTTCTCTAGAAGAATTATAAAATAGACTTGCGAAAAAGAACTTTTAGGTAATCTATTTTATCGGTTCATAATTATCATATTACACCCGTATTTTTCAAATTTTACACTTAAAATCTTTTATTTTTTCAATCTTTTCGTGTAATGATTGCAGGTAATTGCAGGTAATTGTAATGATTGTAGGTAATTGCAGGTAATCGGAGGTAAGGCTATTTAAATAATATATTTTACCCTTTATGGTTTGTTTTAAATTTTCGTTTTGGGACTCATATATCTAGAAAAATTCAATAGAGATATACATCAGGACGTTAATCTTCAAGAGCTAATTTTATGGGGCATTTGGGCGATTCTGGAGACTTGAAAATTTATTTATTAATAACAAATCGAACTATTTTTCTGAAAAATTGAACTAAAGCTATCTTTTAGCAAATTTCAAGGGATTTCGAATGGGCCCAAAATGAAAATTTGAAACAAACCATAAAGTGTCAAAGATATTTTTTAAATATCCTTACCTCCTATTTACGTTAATTGTCTTGTAACATCATCAACTTCAACGATATTATTATAATGCCTAAGCCTGCAATCATTACACGAAAAGTTAGAAAAAAATAATAGATTTTAAATGTAAATTCCCATGAATATTTGTGCGTTTATAATTATGGGACAGAGTGTATTACTAGAATTTAATGATAGGATAATGACAAACCATTTCAGAATTAAGCAACAATTTTATTGATCTGTGCTTTCCTAATTTACGATTATAATCGCCACAATTGGAACACAAATAATTTCCTTTTAAGTATTTATACCATTTTATAGTTTGTGAAACATTACAATTGAAGCAATTTCTTTTATAACCTTTAGTAATTTTGCCTATAATTTATAAAATTAACTCTAAATACAATAAAAAACCATTTACTTATTTTATTGCCATTAAATTCAATTCTGTTTTTTTCCTTCAAATATTCAACTTTTTGTCTACCCAACAATTCAATTTTATATCCAATTAAATTAATTTCCGTCCAATAACTTGTCAAAAGTTTGTCTTTGTAATTTTCTATATTTTCTTTTAATACAGTCGTCGACATAAAGATAGGGACAAGAGTAATTTAAATGCAAATTAACTATTTTTCAGTCAAAAAATACGTTCTATATATCAATCGAAAGCTCTATTCGTATCTCAGTTGACATGTTTCTGCATTTTTCATGAAAATGAAAATTGGCCGAGATAATCCGGATCTGCCGGATATACCAAATCCCACAGCCTCGGAAAAAATTTTCGGAAAAAATCTAACAAACCCATTTGATAAAGCATATTTTTCTGAGTATATACCACAAAACCGCTTAGAAATATCTCTTTCCGGACCAGAGATATGATTTTTTGAAAATGGCATTTTTCGCTTAAAAATTGAATTTTTTGCAAAAATAGACGAAAAATGCCATTTTCAAAAAATCATATCTCTGGTCCGGAAAGAGATATTTTTAAGCGGTTTTGTGGTATATACTCACAAAAATTTGCTTTATCAAATGGGTTTGTTAGATTTTTTCCGAAAATTTTTTCCGAGGATATAGGATTTGGTATATCCGGTAGATCCGGATTATCTCGGTCAATTTTCAATTTCATGAAAAATGCAGAAACATGTCAACTGAGATACGAATAGAGCTTTCGATTGATATATAGAACGTATTTTTTGACTGAAAAATAGTTAATTTGCATTTAAATTACTCTTGTCCCTATCTTTATGTCCACTACTGTAAATGTTTCGTATTTATTCTTATATTTTTTAATGTTTCATTTAGTATTGAAGTTTCATAATATTTATTCCTCTTAATAAATTCATTAAATCGGAGCACCTTTTATGAATAAATTTATATTAAGGTTAGTTGCTTAATTAATGAATAATCTTGTATATACCCCCCTAATTTAGTTCCTTTGTTCTTAGCTTTTACATATTTTGGCTTAGCTTGTCATAAATAATATTTAATTTCTACTTACATTTTGGGGAAAATGAATGCTTGACAAAATAAATAATACTTAGCCTCAATAAAAGGAGAATCATATTGGAAAAATAACATTATTTATTTTATTTGATTTTCAGCAATCAAACTAAAATACCTGGTTATCAGATCCAGGATGAATATTTTGAATAAATTTATTTTTGGCAATATTAATCAAAACTTTCCTTTTTAATTCTTCAGCATAGTCTGATCTATCATGTATCTCAACTTTATAATTATTTCTTTCATGGTTTACGTCAATTCGACACAAAAATCCCTCAATATTATATTTTAGACTACAAGCATATTTATATTTCCTTTCTATTTTTTCCAATACAAAACGCTCTTCTAATTCTACATTTTTTAAATAAATAAATTCTCTTTTTTCTTGCCAATCGTCTTTGATTTTTACTAAAATACTAACTTTCATCCCATCAGATTTAATATTCAATAGGTTAATTAGAGAAAAACAAGAAAAAATAATCAATTTAATCATCTGAATTTCAATATTAAAAATATAGTTATTCGCCTTAATTTAAAAAAAACGAGAGAATAATTACTGAAATAAAGGTTACAAGACTTTATGCATTTAAAATATAATTATTGTTTTTTGTGTCTTGTTAGTTATTAGTAAGGTTAAATTTTTAGGAAATTTGAAATTTTAATATACAAATATTAGGTCGGTTCATAATTAGTGGCTTTAAGAATATCGCCCGTATATAGCTATACCTGGTATTAAAATGAAGAGGAGATTCAGATCTATATGATTATTAATAAAGAAAAAGAAAATTTGTAAAACAACACCCCTAAAAATTTAGTCTAAAAAACGGCCACTAATTATGACGCGACCTAATAATAACTCATTAGAAGAGCTCATCGAAACGAGTTAAAAAATTGTCATAAATTTTTCAATCAAATCAAATTTCATTTTAATTTACTAAATTTTTATAATTATTTGTTTGGGCACGTCTTAAAATGTTTTTCCATTTTTCTAATGTTTGTTTAAATGAGGTTTATAAAATATTACTTAATAAAAATTTATAAAATATTTTTTCAAAGTAAATAATTTTAAAATTTATACATGTATCCTAGCAATTGATCCAAACTGATCTATTGAGTAATCCTAGCTCACTCTTGGCTCACGCATATTCTCGGCTAATTAAGCTTTTGGCTCAACTTTTGGCCCTTTAGCCGATTTATTACCATGCTTTTTTGCTAATACTACTTCAAAGCGAATACTTAATAGTGTATTTTAGCCATTAAATTAAAAAATAATATTAAAAATGCAATTATAAAAACTTTTCAACTTTTTAAAAAAAATTTTTGCTTAATTTGTTCTTACTTGGTATTCAGTATAATTAAACTTCTTATGGCGTTAATCCGTTAGTTATTAAAGGGACCTTAAGCCTAGCTCTCCTATGAGTGCTAGCAAAGTATTTTATTACAACACTGTCACTTCCCCAACTGTTAATATAATTTGCTAATTTATTGCTAACCATGAGTAAACTCCTTATTATAACTAATGCAAGAAAAACGCGAAAATGATAAAAAAATTGTATCGATTTAGAACGATTGTTAGGCCATCATATCATCCTTAAACACCAAAATTAAGTTGATTTGAGGAGCCAAAGATATTAAAATATCGGCCAAATTTTAAAATAATAAAAGTAAGATGGTAGTTATACTTAATTTAATATCAGTTATTTTAAATAGGTCAAACTTTTTATTTTATGTTAGGGTGGCAGCTTAGTATAAAAGGCGCAGCCTTTTAGTAGTCGGGTACCAGTCGAGAGACAGTATAGAGTTAGTCCAGAGTCGCCAGTTAGTCAGTCTTAGTCCTAGTCAAAGCTATATTCTACTCCAGCGCATAGTCTCGTCATTTCTATTGTATTGTTACCTCGTGATAAACCTTGTTAGTTAGTAACCGTTAGTTAGTCTTTCTGTTAGTATCGGACACATCGTAAGTCGATACATAACATTTTATAAAAAATTTTATATTAAAATTTAAGATGAAAAGATTTATTATTGTTCTTTTTTCATATTTGGTTGTTCTGTTGAAAATCCAAATCAAAGGTAAAATGGTTGAGGTTGGATTAAAAATAAAAAATGATTGGGAAGAGAAAAGAGAATTTATTTATTTAAAAAATATTAAAATAAGGGAACGTTTTGTATTGATAATGAATGTAAAACCAAAAAGTAGAATAGTTGATTATCTTTATAAGAATAATGGATCGTTTTGTAAGCTTGAAGTAAATCCTGATAATAAAGTTTTTATTGTTAAACTATATCGGAAGGCTAAATTTAGCTCTCAATTAAAAAGGAGAATTTTGATTGAGATTACCAATAATGAAATTGTTAACAAATTTCTGAAAAACATGGGAAAACAGGTATCTAATATTTGATTATTCAATATAAACAAATTTTATATATTTTAGACTCGTCTGAATAATAATTTTATTATGAATAATAATTATTATGAAACTTCTATATTAGAAGAATGTGTAGAATATATAAATAAAAAAGAATTATTAAAAGAAAATGTACAAATTTATCAAGACAAACTTTTATCAAGTTATTGGACGGAAATTAATTTAACTGGATATAAAATTAAATTGTTAGAAAGACAAAAAGTTGAATATCCGAATGAATTAGAATGCAAAATTATTGCCAGTGTGAATAAGATAAGTAATAAAGTTTTATTTTTGTCTATCTATTCATTTCCTAAAAAATTTTCCTTAATAATTATAGTTGAAATAATCGAATTAAATAAACGGAAGTTTTCAATTGTAGAGTTACACAAACAAAACAATGGCATAATGTACTAAAAGAACATTACTTATGCAATCAATGTGGCAAATATAAACACAAATATGGAAGGTTTAGATTAAAAGAATTATGGTTTGAGACTAAAAAGGTTAGCTTTATCAATTTATAGTACTATTTTAAAAATTCTTATTCTGAAACTCTTTAAATGAATCTTTTATCAATTATGAACTTACTGAAAGTTATTTTACCGTCAGATCGCTATTACTACAGTTTATCACTAATTTCTAACTCATTAAGTAATTTAAGCACTATCGTAAATGTTTTTTGCGGAGTTACATACAATATATCCAGACCTGCTCGTTCGTACAAACACCGTTTTGACTAAACCAAGATTTGATCTCACTTTATAAAATAATATTTTCGTAAATCTGTGTGATCAAAGTATGTAATTACTAAATCTTTTTGCGCAAGGAAACTTTTATCTGTTTCCATACATTTCCTTATAAATATTTAGATACCACCGAAAGATCGAAATTGTTCTATTTGCTATGTTACTGATACATCACATTGGTACCGTTATTCGAAACAAGGACACTATTTATGTGCTTCTTGTTACCATAGACAACAAAGAATAAAAAAAACAACTAAAAATACGAAAGCATATGGTTGACTTTACTTTAAAATTTAGTTTACTTTGATATTATAGATCGAAGTTCAAAGTGATCGAAATTGAACAATTTGGGAAAGTCACACTACTCCCAACGATAAATGGATAAAAATGAGTATAAAATAATATAAAGATTGTTATCAAATTTCAATTATATTTTTATGCTCAACTTTTTTGCTTTTTTAACAGAATTTCCTTCTCGTTTATGAATTATTTCATTTATTCGATTCCGTTTCAGTTAAATTTTTTTTTTCAGTTAAATTAAATTTCTATGCTTTCCCGATCGTAACACGCTCGACATAAATATTGTCAAGGGTCTGAATGATGCAACCATTTTTTGTCTACTAAATTCCGAAATTATAACAATGACAATCCTGCTTAAATAAATTTTGTTTGCAAAGAATATTCAAAACAAAATTAACCTTGACGCCTCATGTATATAATTTTTAGCAAAAGCATTTGAGACGAACAAAATGCTAAAATGATATAATGAGTTAGCTCGAAGCGGTTTAGTCTACACAAAACCGGAACCAAAAACAAGTGGCCAAAAGTCGTTGATAACCGAAAATTGCTTGGTAAACGTAATAACCGGTTGTATCCAAACTTACATTAAATCATAATAAGCTATTAGGTAATTTAACAAAAATAAATTTAAATATTATATTCAGTAAATAATTTTTTTATTAATTATCCTTTCAAGTTTTAATCAATTTTTGCCTTTCAATAATGTCTAGGAGTCTGGCATTCACGCGACACTATTCACGAGTCTTCATTCACGCGACTTCCCTCCTCCTTGAAAATTTTTCTATTTCTCCACCCAATATTCTTCCTTCTCTCTCACTTAAATTTAAATTCTTGTCAGACATGAATTCGGTTAATTGAATTTATAAATAGAGTCAAAGCTATCACCCATTCCAAAAAATAAAAAAAGTTTTGGTGGGATGTTATTCTGTGAGCTCCTAGATACACACAACCTCCAACCATCCTAACAATTGTGGCCCCGAATTAGCACCTATACTTTTTTAAAAATCAATCACTGGTGCGGGTAATTAATGAGTGAGTAATTATTGTAAATTATACGGTAATTATACGGTTTTAGAGTCTCGAGTCGAGCCGAATCTTGAGCTTGCGGATTATCAATTTGGTTCGTTTTCGAGATTTTTGAGCTGAAATGCTTAGGCTCGCTCGATCTTTTGAGCTTGGTTCGAGCGAGGAGGCTGGCAACACTAATAAGGTGTGAGTTAGGTGTGAGTTATTATATATTATTTGTCGATATCACTTATTTCGGCATATACTGTAAACCGGCATAATAGAGAGTTGTGCTAGGTGAACTGAATTTAAATAATTTCAAGTTTATTTAAATAATTTTTTTAATTTCAAAGATATTTAGCTTAAATGAAAATCGAAAAACTTCTAATATTTTTTACTTTATTGTGTGTTGCATTTGGCAGTCCAATTCAAGGTAAAAATGGTAAAACTGAAAATATTGGAAACAAGAAAGGTATCATAAATTTTATTTGTTATTTAATTTCAATTACAATACAAAATATGTTACATTTAAGAGCAACATCCAAAATTATTAGAAGATGAAAAAGAGAATTTTGATAAAATTATAGAAAATACAAAACCAACAAAACAAGAAAATTCTAACATTATTCATTATATCTTTAAGATGATTAAAAATGACTCGATTGATCAATGGAATGATTTTAAGAATTTCTAGTAAAATGAATATAAAGATTGAATTTTTAATTTAACAATCGCTGTTTGTATAAAGATTTGTAAAAAAATTCTTTAAGGTTTTATTTGTAAAAAGTGAAAGCAATATATTTTCTAAAATTTAAATATTATTTATAAATTAATCCTTAATTTAAAATTTTTGTTTTGAAATATGTTAAATTCATTTAAAAAGAGAAAATTCATTGAGTTTTATCAATTTTATTACAGCAAGATGCCGATTGTTTTATTATTTTCTATACTATTTATCGTATGTACATATATATCTCTTTGTATAAAGTGAAAAAATTGCCTAAAAGCAATTTTTTGCAAACCACATTTTGTGACTGAGCAATACCTTATTTTTGACTTATTTTTTTGAAATAGAAAATCAGCCTATGATTCAGGAGATTACGTTTGGAAAAGCCGGCAAAATTTAATTTTTCGTAAACTTCCTCATAATTTTGTGATTTTGGTCAACACTATCATACATACTTACTAATCACCAAAAATTAAAATAAATACAAAACAATTCCCCGAAATATTTATACAAAAGATTAAATATTTAAAATTTACAAAAGAATGAAAATAGAAAAGAAAAATAAATTTTAAATAGAAAGAATTAAATAAAAGTTTTTTGGGGAATTTTTTTTGGGTTTTATGTTTTTTTGGATTTTTAATTTTTAAAATTTTTTTTGTTTAATGGGTTTTTGGTTTTTTGAATTTTTTGTTGGAATTTTGAATTAAAGGATTTTTGATTTTTTTTGTTTTTTTTTGTGTTTTTTAATTTTTTTTCTGTTTTCAACTTTAAATACGATTATCACATGACTGAATTTCGTTTTTTAAAATTAGATATAAAATTTTAAATTACAGTTAGACTTCGCTTTAAAAGTTACCCTATCTAACTTGAAGATATCATGCATAACTTTTGAAGATATCATATTTGGTTTGACAATGGCTTAGGTGAAATCAAAGCAAGGGGTAGGGTTATTCCTCAAAGGATTTTAATTTTAAGGCGAAATTCAGTCAAATAGTATGGAAAGTAATTAAAAAATATATAAATAAAAAAATTCTTCTTTAGAACACTGAATCTTCTTAGAAACACAATTTATCTTCAAGGCCAAGATCAAAAAGTTTTAGTTTCTCGTTTAGAGCAGAAGCATCTTTATTTGTAATAAGTTTGAGGGGGCTATGACATGACGGACAATTTTTCTTTCCTTCAAAACATTCATAATGATAGTAATGTCCACATGTATTCTTTACAATGGCTTCATCTTCTACAAATTCTCGTTGACAGAATGTGCAGTGTGTTATATTATTAGCTTTATCTTCTTTAAACACAAACCCCGTCATTTTTTTCTTAATGGAATTAAATATTAAATGTTTATTTTCAGCATGATTATTATCAGGGGTATCAGAATTTTGAGTAGAATTCATGAAAAAGGAATCCTAATTCCTAAAGCTATGCAAGACACGGTAATGAATAACACATTATAGTCTGGTCAACTGAAGATAATGGCCCGCCCCCAGTCGCATCTGATCAGTTGAGTTAAGTCTCGACCATTTAATTCAAGAAGGTATGGGAAACTTATTCATGTTCTTGTGACCAATGGATAGTGAATTAAATAGTTTTTGATAGCTTGTAGTATATTTAGATCTCTATCCAAAGGTACAAAAAATTATCCGTACTTTCTTAGGTTATAGGCGCCGGGACTGAACTGAGTTTTTTTCCGCAGCGGCCTGTTTAACCTTTACTTTAATTAGCTGAAGGATCAAAGCTAGCCCTGTTCAGCCTTATTTGATATATGCATAATTGAGATCTTCCTCTATGATTTTCCTAATTCGCAATAGCCCACCGCTTTATACTCCTAATTTGAAGCTTTGAAATTTTATCAAACTTTATCAGACTTACTAAACAGTTTTCTTTAATCTCGTTCATAGTGTTATTTAAATAATTAGCACAATAGTCATTAATCATTTTAACAGCCGACCGATTGGCAATCATTTCATTCACTTTCAATTTTAATTGACTCTTTGAAATTCCTGGTTTTGATAATAATTCTTTTAGAATTTCAATACTCTGAAATTATTAAAATTGATGTATTATTTAAAACCATCCCAGGAATAGCAAAGGATTTAATAGGACTTATCCTGAATGTTCTAAAAACCAATCAATTACCCCAATATCAACTGATCGTTTTAATTTTTGCTTTATTTGCTAGGATGGAAGGAAACATTTCTCAAACCTTATTAGGAATAACAACATTTTCATGTCCAATACGAATTTGCATATCAACAGCAGAATTGTAATATTTTCTGTATTCAACAAGAGATGTTGATTTAGCATAGTCTCTGATCAATCCTTCAAGAATACGTTCTCGCTCTGCATCGCTAATTATATGTCCAACACGTCCAGAACTTGAAGCCTCACCACGTCCACTACGACTTGAACTTGAAGATCCGGCATCAGTTTCTCCAAAACCCGGAGATCCAGCATGCTCTGAACCTGAAGAGCCACCCCGTGCAACATTTATTCTACGTCCACCACGCCCTGATGCACCATTCGAACTTGGAATTAAAATTAGTATAAATGTTAAAAGGACAAGAAAATTGAATGATCTTGGCATTTTTAATGATTGGAAATTCAAGATTTTAACTAAAATTAAAAAATTTTAAATTTTAATTATGAAAAAGAATCGGATTTATAGAAAACTGGGACAAGGTTTTTGGACAAAATTTCATCCAAAATATCCCATTGAGATGTTGTCACATTCTAACGATTTTAAATAAATATTCTATACACTAGGAGCTGAATAATTTACAAATTTCAACAATTCGAGAAATTAAAGGGTATATGGCGAGATTAAGGAATATCGATGATCGGTGGATTAATATCATTGATCTGGGATTAGGAAGATGAGAAGTTATCGAGAGCGTTGGATGAATAATAATGATTAAGAAGCGATGTCGGGTAACTCAGAAATAATTGAAAATATTCAAAGAATCCCAGTCGAGGATAACCCAGAAAATTGTTTTTGGGTGTGGGCATAAGTGTAGATTTACAACTTTTAATTTAATTTCTTATAAAAATTATTTTTAAATTGAAGAAGGCAAATAAAATGAATAATATTGGGCAGAATTATTAGTTTAAATAAACAAGCGCGCCAAAAAAGCAAATTTATATTTTGTCAAGGCTTTAGACCTAGATTCGAAATTTCGATTTTAATGGTAATCGTATTTCGTACCGTATATTTTTCATTAGTTTTAACTAAATTCTGAAGGCGAATACTTTGGAACTCTTAAAAGTTAAATAAGCAAGATCTCTTCCTTTTATCGGCGGACTCAACGTGTCAGATCAGAAATTATTCCGCATCTCAAGACCTTTAAAATGATATAAGATTTTTCGGTTCCTTCAAACAAAAAATGTTTACTTTAGGTATGAAATTTCGGCGCTGGTCTAGTTTATGCGTCCAATGAACTTTTATGTGTTCAAACAAAAGTTTTGAGTCCAATCAACAACAAATTGGATTTTTCTTAGTATTGCAAAGTTGGGGTATGGTTCCAATGCATTTCTTCATGTTCGGGACCTACACCCACTAGTCTGTGACCATTCCTTGCCCTATCTTTCGAAATTTCGGTAAGTTATAATTGTTTTTCCGAAATTTTTAAAAATTGGCTATAACTTACCGAAATTACGATAAATAGGAAAAGAACGGCTCAGACCCAATGGACATTGTTCCTATCATGAAGAAATTTAGGAACCATACCCTAACTTTGCGACACCAAAAAATTTTAATTTTTTTGATTGGACTCATAAAGTTCGTTTGGTCGTATAAAGTCAAGTAGAACCAATATTTCATGGTATACAAATAAAAGATTAACCTATCCATAGATACGTACAATATGACCGAAGATCCGGGCTCTATTAAATAGTAGCAAAAAATGAATGTGAATAAAGAGGTAAAACATATAAAATATAAAATAGAATAATATATAATATATAAAATAGAATCAATAAATATAATAAATAATAATAAATAACTTATAAATAAAATGTCCTCTTAAAATAGAGGTCAAAAAATTGAATACATATGTATTTTAATTATTGTTTACCATGTTTACCCTGCTTTTTAGAATTTACGATTGCGGCATGGACAATTAAAAATTTCAACACAAATATTTCCAGACAGCGTAAAAGACATATGTAGTCGGTAAAAATATAAACAAACAAAAATTGTATTGACTAATTATATTAACTGCGGAAATTGGCAAAAAGTGCAAATATAAAAATGCCCTAAATGGGTAAATAAATTAATTTAAAAATATGGCGGCAAATTAAAGAATGTATTTATGTTATTTTATATTTATTTTCTCACCGACTGATTTTTTAATTTGCACTTTGGTTAATATAATTAGTAAATAAAATTTTATAGTTTGTTTAGATTTGTACCCCCTTTTATCTCGAAGATTTGTTTCGAAATACTCGGGTCGAAATCTTGATTAGCAATGTCAAAAATCGAAATTTCGAACAGCTATTATTAACTTAGCATATGATGAAATGTCAAAATAAGACTATTTATTTATAGTGTCTCAACAAAATTAAATTTTATTTCATAGATTTTAAACAAGTTTATTCAAATCAACTAGCTTAGTTTTATTGTTAAAGTAGAGTTATTTGTTATATTAATATGTATAAAACCTTTTATATCCGAGGGTGTCTTAATATTAAAAACTTGATTAATTTTTTCTATCAAATTTCACATTTTTTTATAATTTTCTAGTAAGAATTTATTTTAATTTTCTGTTCAAAAATTGACGAAACGTTATAAGTGTCTCAGATAACAATATAAACGTTATAAGGTTTTTTTTCAAAATTACAACATAAAACCTTACATTAACCCTACATTACCCAATTCAACCTACATTAATTTAATCATAGGAAACTTAAACATTTCTCTAATTTAAATAATTTTCAACTGATATAATTAATATAAATAACAAAATTTCAACAAAATTAAATCTTCAAATTTTTTTCTTTAAAAAACCTTTAACTAATATTTAAGAAATTTTCAAACTTAAAAACAAACAACAAAAATTTTTCTGACTAATTTTATTAACAGTGTCAATTGACAAAAGTGCAAATTTCTAAATTCTCCAAGTGACAAATTAAATAAGTATAAATATAACCCATAAAAAATAACAATTTTGTGTTATCTTTATATTTATTCTTTGCCATTTATGAACTTTTTAAATTTGCACTTTTTGTCAAATACCGCGGTTAATATAATTACTCAATGAAATTTTTTATTTGTATGTCGGCTTTGCTTTTAATAGCTATTTTAAAATAAAAGGTTCGAAATATTGGTTTATCCAAGTCGTAAATCGAAATTTCGAATAAGCTCTATCGCCTTTATCATTTGATTAAATATTTCAAAGTGCATCCCTATTTATTTAAGGAGAAAACAAATAATTAAAATATGTATTGAATTTTTTACCTCTTTTTAAAAACCTAGTTTATATAGGATTTTTAACTTTGGCTTTTCCATTTATTTATTGGTTCTATTCAATAGAACCAGGGCCTTACCATAGTACAGCTATATTTTACGTTAATAATTGTGTTAAGATCGGTAGTATATAAAACTATCATTCTCAACGAATCCCAACTAAGCTTCTAAATTAATTTAAATCATACTTCCATAATTGGATATTAGAATTCATCAGAATTCCAATGTAATTTTTTTAATTATTCATGTAAAAACAACAATGATTTTCAAGTTCAGGAACTTTTATAAATTTATAATAAATATATTAATTTATTTCAATGATTAAATTTAATTTGATCAATCTCTTATATTTAATTACTTTAATGAATATTCAATGCCGAGGAAAACCAATTAGTGTTTCGTTAAAAATCAAAGATGATTGGAAAGAAAAAAGAGAATTTATTTATTTAAAAGATGTTGAACTGAAGGAGCGCTTTGTTGTGAAAACAATCGAAAAGTACAACAATAGATATGTAGGCTCTAATTACAATACGGAGGGATTTACACTGGTCCAGACAAAACATTGTCTTATCAAAAAACTATCTAAATTTTCAATTTACAATAAATTATTGAATTAAAAAATAATTTAAGGCACTTCGATATTCTAATTTTACTGAGAAGAATAATTATTATGAAACTTCTATATTAGATGAGGGTTTACAAAAAATAAGGATAAATAAAAAAGAATTATTAAAAGAAAATATAGAAAATTACAAAGACAAACTTTTATCAAGTTATTGGACAGAAATCAATTTAATTGGATATAAAATTGAATTGTTAGAAAAAAGAAAAGCTGAATATTTGAGAGAATCAAAAGACAGAATTATTTTTATTTGCAATAAAATAAGTAATTAAATTCTTATCTTCAATTTTAACAGATTCTCAATTATTAAAGGTGAGATGAAAGAAAGAAACAAACGAAAATGCTTAAATTGTCGAACTACACAAACCAGCCAATGGTATACATACCTGAAAGAACATAACTTTTGCAAACTATGTGCTAGATATAAACTAATAAATGGAAAGATTAGACCAAAAGAATTACAAAAGGTATGTTTAACGGTCATGTGCCGAGTCGGTCGCTAATAGGAGTTAACATTTGAGTAAATTTTTAAAAATTCATATTTGAAAACACTTTATGTAAATCTTTTAAACATTTCTGAATAATAAATATACTTAGTTTTGAGTGTTTTTATCATGAAAAAAGGGTTCTACTTGACTTTATGAGTCCAATCGAACTTTATGAGTCCAATCGAATTTTATGAGTCCAATCGAACATTATGAGTCCAAATAAAACTTTATGAGTCCAATCAAAGTTTATGAGTCCAAACAAAACTTTATGAGTCCAATCAAAATTTATGAGTCCAAACACATTTTATTAAATTTTATTAAATAATAAATTTATTAAATAATACGTAAAAAAGAATAGATTTATGTTGCTAACCCTATGGAGCGTAGGCGAGGCGCTTGTGCAAAACCCCGCGCTTCGCGCGGGGTTTTGCGGCACGCGCTTAGCGGGAGTCAACGGCCGCTGGGTTCTACAACAGTAACATAAGCCTACCCCTTTTGCATTTTCAGCATTGATCTGACGACCTAACCCCGTAACTCACAAAAATCTGATTGGACTCATAAAATATGATTGGAATCATAAACTGTAGTATAGCCACAATTTTTACTTAGAATAATAAGACATGTCGGATTTATAAAATTTGTTTGGACTCATAAACTTTTGTTTGGACTCATAAATTTTGATTTGACTCATAAAGTTTTGTTTGGACTCATAAATCTTGATTGGACTCATAAAGTTTTATTTGGACTCATAAAGTTCGATTGGACTCATAATCTTCGATTGGACTCATAAAGTTCGATTGGACTCATAAAGTCAAGTAGAACCGAAAAAAGACGTTCTGTTTCGACATTCACTAAAATCGTTCTTGTATATAAAGGCTGTGAAAGATTTTTTTATAAATACGGGTTTAGTATAGTATGTATTACACAATTCTTCTTTATGCAATACAGTAAAATTTCTAGTAGAATATCCAGGCATTTTATTTATGAATAACCTAAAATACGCTGACGAACGATTATGAAGCAAAACTAGGCATAATAATTTAATTAAAATAATATAATACATAAAAGTTTTTTAAAAATTGCAACAATTTCAATCTCATTTTTATAAATATTATAGCTGACTACTAAACAAGATCGGTCATGTTTTCTTTGCGGAGCAACAAAAACAACAATGTGGCGGCGTCATTCAAAACCAGAGCACTATCTATGTAATGCTTGTGGAATAAAACAACGAAGAATGGAGAAAAAAGCAAATAAAAACTAAAGTGAAATGAAACGAATAGAGAGACTTTTATTACATATAATTATATTATAAAAATTTTGCACTGGAACATGAAGTTATTTTTCCAATATAGCATTAAGATATCGGTGTTGGTAGTTTATAACTTCATCAATTAATCAAATAAATTTAGTTATGTTTTTAAATTGAGGTTTTAATTATTTTTTGTTTATACCAAGTTAGTTTGGATGACTTTTTAATTTTCTTTTTTTATTGGTTATTCTAACGTAAAAAGATAAGGTAGATTTTGAATTGTCCCAAAAATTGTGGGAGAATGAATACCGAGTATTAAAAATTTATGCGAAATTTAGAAAAATGCGCAAATCATGGAAGATTTTTTTATATCATTAAGTAGTTTGATTAAATTAATTCATATTATTGAATTATAATTATTAAATAATATTGATTTATATTTTTAATTATAAAACAGTATTTTATATTTTAGGCTTTTTCGGTATTTAATTTTCATTAATTTAACGTATATTTTTAGACGATATAATTTTTGCTTCTATTATATATTAATTAATTAGATTTTTAGTTAATTTGATTTTTGATTATGCTTTTTGTGTAATGCAAGTATTCTTTAATTTTTTCTAAATAAATATGCTACATTTTTATAACTATTGCCATTTTCATTTTTTCAATTGTCCTTAAACTATACATAGTACTGGTTATTTTCCATTTTTTATGTTCTTTACTTTTTATTTTATATAGGTTTTTTTGTCCGTTTCCATTTTGAGTTTATTGTATACACTCCGCACTCCGCCAAATAATTATATGAACACCCTCAAATGCCACTTTTTACCGTATTTATATGCCGATATATTTTTGTACCCTTAATATATTTTAGAAATTGGCTAAAATCGTCTTAGAAAGAAGAAAATCTGAAAATTGTTTAAACCTAAAATTTTTTTAGAAAATTTTTAATTTTTCGACCGCCACATAATTACATTATGAACACTTTGGGTTTTCGTATTTCTAGGTGTAGGAAAAATCTATAAAAATTCCAATAAACTTATTTATCGATATTAAGAATAAATAATAAAGAACTAAGCCCATATCTGTTTTAAGTGTCGAGATCTCGAATCCCGAAAACCAACGTAAAACAGGGGTAAGCAGCTTTGAAAATTTTTTTCGACCCCTTATGGATTATTTTAAATTTTTATTTTAGTCTTTTCTGGAAGCCCTTGAAATTTGCTACAAGATAGCAATTACCTCATTTTCCAGAAAAAATATTCTGGCATATTATTGGCTGTTAAATCTCTTAGTTTCAAATAATGACTAATTGCCCCATAAAATGCCCTATAAGATCGTCACGGAAGAATCAAGGTAAATGTCTCTTAATTGGATTTTTTATGAAAAATAAGATTTTTGGTATCTTGTAGCAAATTTCAAGGGCTTTCAGATGACCTAAAATAAACATTTAAAATAATCCATAAGGGGTCGAAAAAAATTTTCAAAGCTGCTTACCCTTGTTTTACGTTGATTTTCGTCATTCGAGATCTCGACACTAAAAACGATATGGGCTTAGTTCTTTATTGTTTATTCTTAGTATCGATAAATAAGTTGGGTAACCTCTCGATAAAGGGAAAATTATCGAGGAAGGCAATTTGATAGAGAATATACAGTATTTTATTTTTAAAAATCATTCATTTTTAATCACTTCTTTCTAAAAATTTTGTTATAAAGTTTGGGCATTTATAGTAAGTTGCAATCATTGAATAATATTTAAGCTGGTGAGAGCTCATTAAACGATAAGTATATTCATTTTCAATACTTTGATTAATTAAACGAAAACATTCATCCAATCTCTGAGCCCCTTCAATTAAACCTAATCTTCGTTGATTATATCGAAGTAAAATATTTGTATATTTAATAGATTCGTTATAAAGTAATTCCTTTCCTTCGGGAGACAGATCTTTAGCATCTTAAATAATTAAAGTTTATTTAATTTAATAGAGGATGATATGATGCTGTTATTTTTTAGTTAGAGTAGCCGTTTTCGAGTCGGGCCGAAAGTCGAATCCGACAGGTCTTCTCTTTTTCAATGTCCATTCTTTGAATATGCCAAAGGGCAAATAGATGAAGGAGAGGTCAGACCGTAAGAGCTCTTTTCGGGCCAAATATCCTAGGCCAACTCGATCTTTCGGTCCGAGTCGGTCAATTTTGGCAACACTATTTTTAATGGCTCAATCACTGTACAATAAAAGCCCACAACACCATTATTAAATAATAAAATGTTTACCTGATTTCGAATAGATAATAGCTATTAACAAAGCAAATTCAACGTTTGTTAATGAAGCACGTTTAAAATGGGAACAGATTTTGTAAACAAAAGGTCTGTCCATTTACTTACTCTAAAAATTGAAAGTAAAAAAAATTTTCTTTTGAAATTTTTAGTAAAATTTTTAGAAAAATATTTACTTATCATCATTTAAAAATACAGAATTCTTCTTAACACCAAGAGCAGGCATAAAATTATCTTTACGTTTCCATGTGTCAGAGCCTAATTCACAAGCTAGGTAGGTGTTTGTAAATATAGAAAACAAATGACATATCTGTCTTAGATGTGCAATCTATTAAAATTAATCTTTAAAACTTGACAGCAATCGAGGTTACAATAAAGCAATAATTACAATAAAATTCCGGTTCAACACTAAATATAATAAAAATAAATCAACATAAAACACCTGATCAGATAAAGTCAATTTTTCAAAAACAGGCATAGAATTAGCTATACTAAAACACAAAAGTCTGTCAACTAACATGCATTTTTGAAATCTACTATTAAATAAGCCTTCACGTTGTAGTGAAGATTCCCAACTATTCAATTCGTCAAACGGTATTGGAATTGGATCTGACTTTAAATAGGATTGAGATTTATTAAAAATTAAATTAAAATTTACCGAAAAAATCTCAGTTAAACGAAAAATATTAAAATTGGATAAAATTATTTCTTCAAACAAAATCGGGCCATGAAGGAATATATCATCCAAATCATTAAATGCATGCATAATACGTTTTTGGGCTTCAATAATTGGTAAAATTGAGTTTATTAGGTTCTGATCTTTGGTGGTTAAGTCGACAGTTGGGGAATTTAGTATCTTAAAAATAGAGAGAATTTTAATCTTGTTTGTTATTAAGTTTTGTTTTTTGTTCCTTTGGGCATTCATTGGAAAAATTTTGAAATTAGCTAAAATTTTGAAATTAGCTAAAGATAGATGGATGTTTTTCTTTTGATTTAGATAATTTGAACTTTTTCAATATTCGATCTTCAAAAATTTTTTTCAACCCTAGTCTACAGTAACAGTGTTTTCCAATTCTGTATTAAATAAATAAATTTACTTTATTTTCCTTTTTTTGGTTTTCCATCGCTTCCTGGCATATATCATGGCGTAAATATCTAACTTCTAAAATACTTTTTTTAAATTACCGTATTTCTTCTAATAGTGCGACTGTCTCTAATAGACCGAACCCTTCTGATAAAACGACCCCTAGAATATCGGTGGATTCGGTGGGATATCGAAAAATATAAGGCTGTTTAAGCGATTAAGGTGATTAAGGTATATGGATTTAGAGATTATAAGTAACTTAGGCACCAGAGATTTGCTGAAATCGGGGATGTCCGCAAATGAAAAAAATTTCTGCAGCCGCAATTTTAATTTTAAAATCCGCGCCGCAATCCGCAGTCCGCAATCTAGGGATATAACCTAGGCACCAGAGATTTGCTGAAATTGATCGAAAAAATAAGTTAATCCCCTTAATCGAAAAAATAAGGGATTTGAAGTATTAGGGAAGCTTTCTTTTGATATCAGTGATTTAGAGAAATATAGAAGATTAGAAATTTGAAAAGATTGAGAGAGATATAATGAGATTTGTAATAATAACAAGGGATAACAGAGGATTAAGCCTGAGAACGTGAATTCACGGTTTTCCCGGTAAGGGTCCCCACGGTCAACCTTCAGAACCCGTTTCCCGGACCAGGTTTTTTTTCAAAATTCCGATCTCTAGTTTATACCTCAGTTGAATCCTCATGAAGGTATATAAAAGGATCAGAAGTGATTAAGAGAGTATTGGAGATTTGCAAGGTTAATGGGATATTTTTGGGATTAACACTGATTATGTCATTAATTTAACAGTAATTTGAAGGGGTATTGGCGGATAGAAGAGGAGACAGTTTTTTACACTTATTTTGACAAACCCAATTTTTTCATTCCAACAGAAAGACATTTTTCAAGTCTACATTTTTTACATTTTACCAAATTTGGTTGGGATTCTGCGTTTGTATTTTTTTCTGAACATTTACATAAATTATATTTCCATTGATTTTCGTTTTCAAGATAACGCCTGTTGAAAAGAAATTTTTGAAAAAATTCAGTCATATCTCCCGTACTCTGATTTAGGCAAACAATATTTCATTCGTAAGAGCTCGACGAGAAGTCGAAAGACACCATAAGCAATTTGATTTGATGATACCGAACAAAGTTATGAAAATATTTTTGTGTTTTGGCTAGGTTTGAAGAAGTTATTCAAAACACCCAAAATTTTCAAATTCGAATTTTTCGCCTAAAAATCTTCTTCTTTAGGGAAAAGAAATAACATCTTTTTAGTGTCTCAATTTACTCATACTTTTCTTCTCACGACTCTCATCTTTTGCTCATTTCACTTTTTTAACCTATCATTAGGGGAATATCTTTAGAACCGGTTCCAGAACCGGTTCTAAACCTGTTCCAGAACTGGAACTGCACCGCATCAGTTCCGGAACTAGAACTTTCCCATTATGCCCATAGGTTAGTCCGAAACCTATTTTTTTCGAATGAAATATTATTTGTCCGAATCGGATTATGGGAGATATGACGGAATTTTACCAAATTTTTTAATATTGAATTGATACAAAATACCTGAAAAAAGACCCACAAGCCTTACATGTACAAACTCCATAAATAAAACAAACATTTTCTTTTGTCCCACAAACTTTGCATTTTTTAATAAAATTTCTTTGCATTTTTAAAATAAATTGGTATTTTTTCTAATTAAAATAAAGTTGATAAATGCTTAGTATCAGGCCTTTGAGGATATTTTTATAAAAATTGAAATAAACGGTTTATTTAAAGAATATAGTATATATAATTTTTTTAGGCAAAAATAATTTTTATTTTAACTTTACAAAAAAACACGGCTCTACTATTTTAGCTTTTAAAATAATTAATATAAAATATTATATTTTTTATATTTCATTAAATAAAATTTTTTGTTAAAACTGTTAGAATACTAAAATTTAAAAAATTATGAGAATAATTTAGGTGTATTCGAACGTATTTAATATTCGCTTTGGATCATAAAATTATCAGCTGAATAAACATATAAATTTTCTAAATGAAAATTGAATAGAAGAAAGTTAACTTGGATGATTAAATTTAATCAATTTAGTTGACTTTGAAACTTCTCTCCTTTCTTCTTTTGAATGAATCTTTTATTTCATAAATAAAATTTTATTTTAAAAACTTAAATTTATTCAAGATAGCTAATTAAACACACAAAAATTTAAATGAAAAAGAAAATTAATTTTTATTATCATTAATCTATAAAATGATTATTTGCCATCATCGTGCATTTTGACTAGCGTCATGCCTGCATTCCACACTGAAAAATATTTTAAATTAAAATAGACGGTTCTATTTTTGTTAATTTATTTGGAAATTAAGTGGGATTTGGTGAGGTAACCCTACACAACCCATGTGGAAGGTATGGATGATACCTCAATATCCCTCCATATCCCATTATATCGTCCGTTATATCCATAGGTGTATTCGAACGTGTTTGATTTTAATTTGTCAGCTAAATAAACAAATATTAATACAAAAATTTAAATGGATATTATGAGGGATATTCTGGCGTTAGTTGAAGGAAAATTTAGAATTAGAGAAGGAGAATTTGTCCCACAAACTTTGCATTTATTAATAAAATTTCTTTGCATTTTTAAAATAAATTGGTATTTTTTCTGATTAAAATAAAGTTGATAAATCTTATTATCAGGTCTTTGAGGATATTTTTAAAAATCGAAATCAACGGTTTAATAAAAAAATATCGTTTATAGAATTTTTTCAGGCAAAAATAAGTTTTATTTTAACTTGACAAAAACGAAGCACGCCTTTATTAGCATTAAAATAATTAATATTGCATAAATATGTAATATAATTTTTCATATTTCATTAAATAAAATTTTTTGGCAAAACTGTTAGTATACTAAAATTTAGAAAATTATGATTATAATTTAGATTTAATCAATTTAGTTAACTTTGAAACTTCTCTCCTTTCATCTTTCTATGAATGAATATTTATTTCATAAATAAAATTTTATTTAAAAAAACTTAAATTTATTCAAGACAGCTAATTAAACACACAAAAATTTAAATGAAAAAGAAAATTAATTTTTATTATCATCAATCTAAAAATGGTTATTTGCCATCATCGTGCATTTTGAATAGCGTCATGACTACATTCCACACTGGAAAATATTTTAAATCAAAAAAGGTGGTCATAATTTGATAATTTATTTGGAAATTAAGTGGGATTTGGTGAGGTAACCCTCCACAACCCATGTGGAGGTATAAGGATGATACCTCAATATCCCTCCACATCCCATGATATCGTCCGTATCACCTTAAGTGTATTCGAACTTGTTTAATTTTAATAGTCAGCTAAATAAACAAATATCTAAAAAAATTTAAATGGATATTATGAGGGATATTCTGGCGTTAGTTGAAGGAGAATTGGAAGGGTGTAATTAACTGAGAGAGAAGGAGAGAGAGAGAAAGAGATTATATGAGCTTGTAACGATATGAAAACTGAAAAAAGGAAAAAATTTTTTATTTTATTGACTGATTTAATGCCTTAAAGAAATAGTGTGAAGTTGAGGAAGGGAGTTAACACTTTTTAAAAGATGGGAGTTGTTGTACGAAATTGAATATTAGCAAAATTTATTAGTGTTTCACCGGAACCGAAATTTTGACCGGAACCGGATCCAATTTAAGTTCCGGTTCCCGGAACCGGAACTTTTAAAAAAATTTTTGCTAGCATGTTTTAAAAAAATTTTTATTTTAAGTAGGGGTGCGGTTTCGCCAAATTTTTCGATTAAATTCTGCCAAATTCTTCTGTTAATCGAAACGAAAAAAATCCAAGTTTTGGAAGACCAAATCCCCATCTATTCAATCCCTGATATCTAACTTGCACAGCTCATTCCCTGGACATCACACCCAAATCCCTCTATATTACCTATAACCCCTTGAACTCACATAATATAACTCAAAATCCACCTTTATCCATCCAAATCCTTCGATTTACCATACAACTTCCCTTCATAGCGCCGCAGGCGAAAATTTTTGGATTTTAGGTGAACCAAGGATACAAAATCTCCTTTTTAAGCGCCGCAGGCGAAAATTTTGAGAATTTGTGTGACCAAGTAGAATTTGTGTGACCAAGTAGCTAGATTTCTTCCTTTTCTGGCGCCGCAGTCGAAAATTTTGAGAATTTTGGAAGGCCAATCGGGGAAAATATTGCAAGGCCAATCCATATATCTTAAAAAAACTAATCCTTAGGGGTGTAAAAAAGTTTCGGTTTGCCCGGAACCGATTTGTAAACCGGAGCCGGAACCGGAACCAATCTGAGTTCCGGTTCCCGGAACCGGTACCAAAAAAACACCGGAACTTTCCGGAACCGGAACCGGAACTTCCGGTGAAACTCTACTGCGTATGTGGTAAAATAATATGTAATTACAATCAACCACCAGTGGATCGACCATATGACAAATTTTGTATACCATGCCGACACTATAATAAATAAAAAATATATAAATAAGAAGAATATCCTAATATCTTTTAATAAATATCAATTTTGCAATTATTAAACAAAATACAAATGGACATTACATTAACAATACAATTAAGTCTGATTTACAAATATTATGTAAAACTAAATAAATAGAATTTTTAATAAAAAACAAATTAAATGTAATAGGTTGTATGCATTATTGATTTGTTTCTTTGTTTGAAACATACATATCTCGATAAAGGGAAAATTATCGAGGAAGGCAATTTGATAGAGAATATACAGTATTTTATTTTTAAAAATCATTCATTTTTAATCACTTCTTTCTAAAAATTTTGTTATAAAGTTTGGGCATTTATAGTAAGTTGCAATCATTGAATAATATTTAAGCTGGTGAGAGCTCATTAAACGATAAGTATATTCATTTTCAATACTTTGATTAATTAAACGAAAACATTCATCCAATCTCTGAGCCCCTTCAATTAAACCTAATCTTCGTTGATTATATCGAAGTAAAATATTTGTATATTTAATAGATTCGTTATAAAGTAATTCCTTTCCTTCGGGAGACAGATCTTTAGCATCTTAAATAATTAAAGTTTATTTAATTTAATAGAGGATGATATGATGCTGTTATTTTTTAGTTAGAGTAGCCGTTTTCGAGTCGGGCCGAAAGTCGAATCCGACAGGTCTTCTCTTTTTCAATGTCCATTCTTTGAATATGCCAAAGGGCAAATAGATGAAGGAGAGGTCAGACCGTAAGAGCTCTTTTCGGGCCAAATATCCTAGGCCAACTCGATCTTTCGGTCCGAGTCGGTCAATTTTGGCAACACTATTTTTAATGGCTCAATCACTGTACAATAAAAGCCCACAACACCATTATTAAATAATAAAATGTTTACCTGATTTCGAATAGATAATAGCTATTAACAAAGCAAATTCAACGTTTGTTAATGAAGCACGTTTAAAATGGGAACAGATTTTGTAAACAAAAGGTCTGTCCATTTACTTACTCTAAAAATTGAAAGTAAAAAAAATTTTCTTTTGAAATTTTTAGTAAAATTTTTAGAAAAATATTTACTTATCATCATTTAAAAATACAGAATTCTTCTTAACACCAAGAGCAGGCATAAAATTATCTTTACGTTTCCATGTGTCAGAGCCTAATTCACAAGCTAGGTAGGTGTTTGTAAATATAGAAAACAAATGACATATCTGTCTTAGATGTGCAATCTATTAAAATTAATCTTTAAAACTTGACAGCAATCGAGGTTACAATAAAGCAATAATTACAATAAAATTCCGGTTCAACACTAAATATAATAAAAATAAATCAACATAAAACACCTGATCAGATAAAGTCAATTTTTCAAAAACAGGCATAGAATTAGCTATACTAAAACACAAAAGTCTGTCAACTAACATGCATTTTTGAAATCTACTATTAAATAAGCCTTCACGTTGTAGTGAAGATTCCCAACTATTCAATTCGTCAAACGGTATTGGAATTGGATCTGACTTTAAATAGGATTGAGATTTATTAAAAATTAAATTA